AGAGATGTGTATAAGAGACAGGAGTAAGTGATGCTTTAATTTTGTTGAGAAGTGTATATAAATGTCGAAAATAAATTAAGTGGATCTTTAAATGACCTTGAAAAACACCATAAAAGGGCAATTCAAGGTTATCGTGTTATGTCCCCCTCGAAACCTTACAACTTTTGTCTAAAACATTTTTTCTCTCAAACCTCGCGATTTCCATATTTAACATATACATATACATATATTGGATAAAGGATAAAACAATAAAGAATGGACTTATATCTGAATTAGTTTAATACTTACTAATCTCTTTATTGCCTTGGAAAAACTCAAAATATATTTCAAGTTTTTTAACTGATGGAAGCATACGAAAATGTTCCACAATCATTGTGTCATTTATTATATGTCCAGTTATATCCCATGTTGTTATAACTTCATCAATATTTAAATTAAAGGGACCTGTTACATAAATTATAATACAATGATATAAACATATTTAATAATATTTTTGAATGAAATAACAAAAGTCTTTGAAATTATTATTACTATTTTAAAAATAACTATATTATAAAACAATATAATATTTAACAGTATACTTATAAATTTTATAGAAAAAAATATATTTTACAATAGATTATATAAAGATAGGCATTTAACCTTTTAAGGTTATTTTATATGTGTCTGAATTTTTATGAGCAATGGCATATATATTGTTTTATTATTTTTAAAGGTTTGGAGATTCGTTAAATATCAAAAAAATCAAAACATAAAAATTCAAAATGGCGGATCTAAAAAATAAAACATAAAATAAAACACAAAATAAAACAAATTATAAATCAAATATGAAATTGTTTGTAATAGTGTTTTTTGGGTTACTAAACACGAAAATAATATTTAAAAAATTTAAATTGCTAAAAAATTGATTTTTAGAAATATAGCATTAAAGAGACCAAAAATGATAAATCCTTAATATTATCGTTTCTTTCAAAATTGTGACGTGACAGCCAAATTTTTACATGGAATTCGTGTTCAGCAGGTAAAAATACCTTGAAAATGATTTTTCATACTAGTGTTGCAAAAAAAAGTCAAAATTTTTCAGACAATGTTAGTCCAAGAATTTTCTGATATTTTTACGTAAATAAATTTTTTTATCTTCTGATTATATTTATTGTATAATCAGAATATTTTTTTAGTAAAAGTTTAAACAATTTCCTTTAAAATAAGTGCTAGTTAAGCCGAATAGTTTAATTATCGAAAATATAATTTTTTAAAGATTGTGGTACACATGTAGGAGAGATCGAGGACAAAAGTAACAGGATACAGTTGTAACATCGTGAATATTTGTAAAACTATAATAGGCATATGTATGTAGCCGTGAAGCGAAAATCATTAAACAGACCAACATTGGTTTGTTAGTTCCTCCTAGTCGGTCCACACGAAACGTGCACGTATGCAGGAGCAAAAAATACTTTTTTCAATCCTCAAGTAAGTTTTATTATGTGTACAAAATCTAAAATATTTTTGTTTTTTTATGGTGAAGGTATAACGTATTATCTAAAAATGTTTTAGTAATCATCTATGTTGATGATGTTTGCATATTTTAATTGATTTTTATTTATATGTATATTTATTTTGAAACTTTACTTTGAATTAAAAAGTATATTATAAGAGGACAATTGTAACATCGATGCCTGGGGACGGTTATTGTAGCGTTACAATTGTCTTCGGATTTGCTTAGTTTTATTTGAGTTTGTTTTTCTCAATGTTATTTGAACTTATTAGAAAGAAAGAGAATTTTTTTTTGTTTTTATATAGATTTTGTTTTTTTTAATTTTATTATAATTAATTTTATTAAATATATATTATATATATCCATATAACATTAACATATATGATTATAAATAATTGTATTGCATGAAACTATAAAATTGTATTGCATAAAATAAATAGTTAAGTATATTTACTAGAGGCGTACACGAATAGTTCGAATGCGAATTGAATCGAATCGAATCACAATGGATTCGATTCGAGTTCGTTTTCGAATCTGTATAAGATTCGAAATTAAATAGTTCGAGAATTTCAAATCAACAATGATTCGATATCGAAACGATCGCCTGTTTTATTTACTTTATTTATATTTCCTGTGCGATCAATATATTCTTCTCTAATAAATAAGTATTTTTGACATACGTAATGTATTCATGTATGTAGATTAACAAAATGTTTGAAAACATTCTAATTATTTATGTATACACATATTATTAATTATTTTCTAGTTCGAAATGTCACATAATTTCGCGATTTTTTGTAATGAGGTGTAAATCAAAAATAAGTCTTCAGTTTGTTTTAATTGTTGCGTAAAATAATGTTAATCATAAATTTTTATATTTATTACGTTTAAATTATCATGTAATGTAAATCTGGGAAAATGTGATTCAGATTCAATTCGATTCGATTTCGAACATGTTATAAAAAATTCGATTCGATTTGATTCGATCATACAAATGCTTGATTCGCATACCTTTAGTGTTTACTTATAAATAATATAGTACAATCGTCTTCCTTTACTGCTACAATCGTCCCTGGAGTTGGGACGATTGTAAAAGTATTCCTCGATCATAGCGTTTAAACAGTAATAATTTCTTTCCTAGTTACATTACGAAATTGAACGTAAGAAAATTTTGTACTTAAATAAATTCTACGTCTAAAAATATAGGTTTTTTAAATGTAAATATTATAATTTAACTGTTATAAGACTTTAAATTCAAAATGTTACTTTTATCCCCGATCTCTGATCCTACCACTGAACCATAAAAAAAGTTAAACGTACAATATACAAATATTTTTTTATTTATGTTTAATTCCGTTTAATTTACGAAATTGATGTCTATAATTATTTTTACTTATTACTCGTATTAACGATTAGATTAAAAGCAGATTGTAATTTTTTGGAGAAAGAATTTAATCGATATACGACAAATTTTGAGCGCAAATGAGAATATATTCAACAAAATAAATGGTGTATCTTTGTTTAAGCACAAACTATATAAAGAATTTATTTATCATACCTTTATCAACAATTCTGAGTATACCTAGAGTACCATCCAGTTTTGCAGTACCTTTTAAAAATATTTTCGGTATTACTGTGTCGATTTCTAAACGGAAAACGTCGTCAAGAAAGTGCGCTCTGACACCATTAAAATGAGTCTTTGATATACCAATAATAGTAAGATTTGATATAATAACTTCTGCATGTATGATGTCTGTATTAAATACAGCTTTACCGTATTCATAAAGTAAAGGATCCAAAGCTGGAAAGTCAAATTCTGAAAGTCCTACCAACATAAATAAGACAAGATTAATGTCCACTTTAAAGCGATTAAAATTTTTACCTTAGAATTTTGAAATTTTGACTTTTTAAAATTTGCTGTAAATAAAATCCAAATCATTTATAAGGAAGTTTATTTATATTGTAACATTTGTAATTGCTAACAGCAATGTAAGTGTGAGTGTAAAGTGACGCATATATTATATATTTAAAAGATATATGTAATATAGACAAAAATTTATAATTAAGTATCAGGAAAGACCGTGCAATGTTAACTAATAATTGAGATCCTAAAACGTCAACAACGATACAAAGCGGATCTTGGTGCTTCCACATAATATTAGTATGAATCTTACAATTTACGGTTCATATAACACCACGTGACCGCAAATCGCAGGCATCTCCTGCTTTTAGACCACCGAGGCATATGAACACTCATCTCTATAAACATTGGACGCCCGTCCGGCAAACGGAGATCCGGGATTCGATTCCTGGCTGAGAACATGAGTGATATTTTTTTGCAATAAATTCTTTACAGATTCGTATAGATGCAAGTTAGCATTTATTTGATGTCGCGAGGGTGGGAAGATTTCACAGGACTTGATACTTTGAGCATCGATTTATTAGATTGCTTTTGGCTTGTAATATTACATACTACTTGGTTCGGAGCTACGAAGATGCACGCGATTTGCGGCCACGTGGTGTTATATATGAACCAAAAATTGTAAGATTCACACTACTATTATAAGGAAGCACCAAGATTCGCTTTGTACCGGTGTTGGCGTTTTAAGATCTCAAAAAATTTATATATTTTGAAGAAAAAGATACCTTTTTCAGAAAGTTGTGGCCATACTTCTTCTACAGCATGTTTTAAACAGGCGAAATAATTAACGGAACCTCGCTTGCAGGTGACTACTGCTTAGAAATAGCAATAAAATCAAATTAATTAGTAATAAAGTTATAAAATTGCATAAATATTGTTTTAATATATAATTAAAAAAACAAATCAAAATAAAAATTTAAAAATAACTATGTATAAGTTATTATTAAATAGCAATATCACTGTATCAATTATGTTTATATTGCAAATATAATAAGATTGTTTTCTTAACGTAATAAATTTTTGCTATTCATTGCTTATAATTCATAATAATTGCGATTCATACCTGCGCATTAAAAATTACTACTTGGAAATGCAAATGAAAACATCATTAGCTTAGAAGGTCACAAAATGAATGTCTAATAACATTAGAAATTCTAAACGTAAATAACTTCGTCATAATATATAAAACAATTAACGGATACAGACGAATTATCACAGTATTTCGGTATTTCATCGTAACTGATTGTTTGACTAATGTTGATATTGTATTAGAATATCTCTTTATTTGTATTTAAAAAATGCGAATAAAATACACTGGATGCATTAAGATTAAAAACTGATTGTGATAATATAAAGTCTATTCTTTTTAGCTAAATAAAATTCTTGCCTTATTTACTTTTTTCTTTCTTTTTCAATATAGAAAGAAAAAAAGGACTAAACCGTATGAGAAATTCAGCTAAAAAAAAAACAACTTATTATTAACAGCTTAAAAGTTGCACGGTTCATTCAAAGTCTATAGTGCATTGTTATACCGTTATTGTTTGAAAATATTTTATTAATAAACTGGAACTAATTAACATAGGCACATGAAATGTTACATCAACGGAATAGCAATTGTTGCTGTAAAGGGTTTTGCGGGTTAAGGAGGGGATTTCCGGCCCTGCGCGTAATTGATCGTCATAGTGGGCAAAATGTCCATTCATATAAAAGAAATTTTTATGCCAAGTTTTATTTCAAAAGACCCATACAATTTCGAAATATCACAAGAGATGTGATTTTTCATTAATATTTTTTTTCTCCGCTAAATTTAAATTAATCTTTACAACAAAATTCATGATTACCAAAGCTATACAAATACATATACATAAGTTTGAATTTTGTTATTATTCTAAGCTGAAAATTTTGTTTTTTTTTAAATCCAAAATATTTTAAATCGCATTTTCTCTAGATCTAAAAAATTGGCCACTTTTAAAATAATTCAGTAGATAAGTCTTATAACATATTATTATATTTGATTTTTTTTTTAGATTTTTGATTTGGTGGAACGTGACAAAAAAATAAAAATCGTTTTTTTTAAATTATTTTTTGGTCTTAAATGTATCCGGTTGACATATATTAAATTATTTCTAAATATAATTACTTACCTCCGATCTTTTATCTGCAAACAATAGTATAAAACTTTAATGTTATATAGTTTGCGTAGTTTAAACTGCGAGGTTTTAATTTTTTTCTCAATCGGAAAATCAATTTAACTGATTTTAACAGTTATTCCATTTTTTAAAAACAAAGATCAATTTCTAACTATATCATGCATACAACAAACATGATAAACAATAATTAGGATATAGATTGCGTAAGTGATAAACAATTCAAATGAGAGCACCTTAAAAGGAAGCTGGATCTTGGCACCTAATAATATTTCTATGTAAATCTTAATTCCATATTTCAATCATTTTAAACTGCAGCGCACCAAATTAATTTCGTGCTTGTAACGCAGTCACAAACCGAAGCCGGAATAGTGAGATCACTATTAAATCGATCTTCAACGATTAAGCATCTTAAAAAACCTGCTTAAAAATTTTAAAAGTAATCAATTTTTTAGATCTAGAAAAAATGCGTCTGAAAATATTCTGGATTTTTTTAAAACCATAATTTTCAGCACTGAACGACAACAAAATTCAAACTTATGAATATGGCTAGCCTTTGTAATCATGAATTTTTTTGTAAATATTAATTTAAATTTAGCGGAGAAAAAAATATTAATGATAAATCACGTCTCTTGTGATATTTCGAAATTGTGTGGGTCTTTTGAAATGAAACTTGGCACAAAATTTTCTTTTACCTGAGTAGACATTTTGCCCACTATAATGATCAATTACGCGCGGGGCCGGAAATCCCCTCCTTAACTCGCTAAACCCTATAAGAAAATAACGCTATCACATCATGTTGATGTTTTTCCGGTATGAAGGGAAACGTGATCACACACCGCTTATCGATTCGATTTTTATAATGAGCCGCGGCACATTTAAAACGGTTAAAATGAAAATAAAAATAATTATTAAAGAACACTTACGAACAGTAGTTTCTGCGGCTGAGGATAATCCAAATACCGCTACACTAAGCACATAAAAGACGTAGATTAGCATATTGATTTATCAGTGTCCATGTAGCGATCAGTGTCCATGTAGCGACTAGTTGGACTGGATTGTGAATGAATCTTATATAATTTTAGCTCTCACGACTTTTGAAACAACGTCACACCACAGTGTAACCAGTAGATCCACTTCGTGTCGGCATCTTTGATGTCCTTGAGATTGTCAAGTTGTTAATGTGAGCATCCACTATATTTACATTCCACCATGTAAAAAATCAAGGACCGACAGAGGAAGGATGAAGAAAAATAGTGCCTTATAAGTAATAAAACGGATAAGTAATAATATACTGATCATTCGATACAGTAAATCAATAAATTCA